TTAGTTGGGTAAGTATGTTTATTGAATAGTAAACTGAATGCAAAATCAGTTATTATGGGCCCAAATCAAATGAAATTTTGCATACTGATTGTACATGATGAGACGCATTGAAAAACGCTTCTAATTTTAAAACAGAAAAAAGTTCAAAACAGTATATATTTATAAACAGCCGGACCTATACGTTCGAAAAAAATCGATCTGGATGTCGTTTAACTTCGCACGTACGCGAACGCCTTTACCGACTACGCTCAGTGTCGACAAGCTTGTTGAATACGTTCGAAAAAATACATTTTTATAGTAATATATGTTTTTATAGTAATATATAATAAAATGGAAGCTGCTTATTCCGGTATTTAGGCGCTAGTTACACCTGCTGGCTCATATACTGATCCTGTTTCACACGGAATATTTTCCTTATTCAGTCCCTAATACACCTCTTGTATCAGACTATGAAGAACATCAGCATTTCCACCAAAACCCCAAAAAAGGCATGATTAAAAGACAAAACAATAAAATGTTTTTAACTAGAAGTTACTATCGCAAGGAAAGTGATGCCTCACTCCCAAGGGATCAAAAGCAACATGCACAATTTGCCGAATAAGGGCTGTTTGGATATTAGATAGATTAATAGTTTATTGAACATCATCTTTGCAGTCAAAAAGACTGAATTACATGTGTAGTTTATGAAAATAAAGGTATTAATTTACAATAATGTCTACTAGAATTGATATAAAAAATTCTAAAAGCAATCTATCCATATATGTTAAATATTATATTATGTAAAATTTAATGTTTAAAAAGTTAAGATTTGTGTATTCATTTTTGTGTTTTTCGCATAATGGATAATAAAACTGTTCTCAAAGCGGGTTGTATTTGATACTGGGACTTCGAAGGTTCATTCTTTTCGCAGATCTCTATTAGCGGGAGGAGTTTGGCAACCTTGTGGTCATTGTTTGATACAATGTCATCAAAATGTTTGCAGGTAGATACTCTCGCCTATTTGCAAGGGTGGAGATGGCAGGATTGATAAGTGCATCACTATAAGTCAAATCCGGGTATATTATTCTCATTCCACGCTTTTGTATACGTTCGATGTCCTTGGCAAGGTATTGTGGCAAGGCGCTATATGAAATAATTCACATGGATATTCTAGGACCGACCTTACGCAACTACAATAAAAGTTGACCAAGTCCACTTTCGCCACACTTAGTATAGATACAGGTGTTTTAATGCTTTCGAAGTAACTATGTTTACATGTTTACATTACATTTAATAGAGTTGAGTTGAAGGAGATTATTTCTAGACCAGGTAGAAATATGATCAATATAGATCAGTTTGTATTGATTGAGTTGAAGGAGATTATTTCTAGACCAGGTAGAAATATGATCAATATAGATCAGTTTGTATTGAGTACTTTAATGTTCCGATTTATTAACGACTTCGGAGACTGTGATATCATGCATCGGCAAATTTCCACATTGTGGAGGAGAGGAAAAGTATGATCATTTATCATGGCCAAGACGCGTGCCTTGGAGGACACCAGCTGGAACCTCTAACCAGTCGGAGAAACATGTAGCTATCGTTTAGTTTCACCCTCTGCCATCTATTACGCAAAAAATCAGTGATTTAGTTCACTACACATGGTTTGACACCAAGACTATATATATAGTTTAGCAATCAAAAGGGTATGATCGACCAAGTCAAATGCTTTCCTGTAATCAAGAAAGATGAACCAGTGCAATCTGTTGCTTTTGACCAACAGTGAAACATAGACACCAATGCGAGCACTGTGGAGGTATCTGGGACAAAACCAAATTGTTGTGGATAAACAACCTTTATTAAACAAGGTTGGTTCAAGTTCTCTTTCAATCACGAAATTTTCTGCTATTTTCGATAAGGTTGACGTTGCGCAGATTGGACGTAACTCCTTTCCTAGATCATGGACGATAGACTTAGGTAAAGCCGGGAACAACATCAGCCAGCTTCCAAATTTGAGGAACTTCACAACATTGAAAAGAAGTATTGATAATGTCCGCAATTGGTAAAGCAAGAATATCAGAAAAAGTTTTTAAAACCCAATTCAAAATATCATCAGGGCCACGGGAACGCGATGTATTAACCTCACGCAGTTTTTTAGCAAAGATTGACTCAGTTATAAGTCTTTATTCATTTGATAAAAATACATATATCAAAAGTTACAAATATTATATACAAATATACATATATACATCTTTGAAGGTAAAAGTCGATTTGAATCCACTAGACTGTCAGCTTATATCTAAAATATAGTCTATTTACAAAACTGTTCTTGAAGCGTTCATTGCAAAGGTTTTCGTCGGTCTGCTGACTTAGATCTTGGTGGTTGAATATATATATATATATATATATATATATATATATATATATATATATATATATATATATATATATATATATATATATATATATATATATATATATATATA